CGGCCTCGGGTGGGGCCTGTTGGGCCGGGGCCGCTGCCCGGGCAGGGCGCGAATATCCTGGCGGCCTTTCTGGCGGTGCCCGTGGTCGTAGTGGCAGAGCCTTGTCTTCGGGCCGGGAGGATTCTGTGCTGTTTGATGGTACGAGCAGCGCTGAACTCTGCTCTGCACCCGCTGATAACTGCAGCCAGTCGTATTGATCCAGCCCTACAGTTTAATGGTTGTGCGTTCTTGCTAGTGTTTTCTTTAGGAAAAAAGTTATGTAAGTGAAGTCTAACCTGCTTAATAGGGAGCTGTTTTTAAACAACGCTGGAGAGTGCTTTTTTCTTGTTGTAAAATTGTTTTGTGTGTTTTGTGCAATGTCCTACATCCTGAACTGAATATTTTAATTTCTTGTTCTGTTTAGTGATACAGGATGCTGTTTTCTTTGGCATTGTGTGCAGTTGTGCTAACGGGGAGTGGGAAAGTTCAAGATGATGAATGGATTGACCCCACGGATATGCTCAATTACGATGCAGCTTCGGGAGCAATGAGAAGGCCTTACAAGGTAGAAGAAAGGGTGCATGAGTATGTGTCCTTCTCACACAGACCCTCACCACATGCAGTCAAAAGATTTCCCTTAATTCCTGAAGTTAGAAAACAGTAGAATTATGGTATTTTTAACATCTTAAAGGTTATATTTGAATCTGTGCACAGAGAAGCGTTAAGAAAAAAAAGGCTACCTACGTGATTAAAGATAATTGCCTCAGAGCCTATTACTGACAAGTTTGTGTTGCACAGTGATCAAGTCACAGGAAACAAGCTTTTTATTTTCTCACAGGTGGTGGTTGGCTGATTTATGCAGGTTGTGGCTCCGTAAGTGGTTTCTCTGAGAGATACTGGGTTAAGCAGCTCTTGCTAGTCTGAAGTACAGTGTTAAATATCTGGAAAATTAAGTTCATAGCTGATAAAAGTTGGTGGACTTAAGCTGAATTATTCTATATTAGTTGAATTATCCAGTTTCCAAGGGTTATGGGAATTAACCCTGTTTATTGTATGATAAAAGTCAGTGGCATTTTGTAATGCTGGGCGTCAGACAGACTTTTTGGAAGGAAGATCAGAATAGGGATTGGGTGCTGTACTGTTAATTATTCGTAAACATTGAGGAGAGGATGAAATATGAAAAGCTATTTTTAACATGGTAACTCATGCTCCTGCCGTGTATGTGGGGGGAACTGTCACATGTGTTTATCTTTTCCAGACCTGCACAGGTGAGACTGTAAACTCTGGTTGGTAGTATGAGTGCCCTTGGCTTTTGTCATCAGCTTTCAAGTTGGGTTTTGCAGTCTTGAATAATAACTATTTTAACGCTTCAGAACATAATTTTCTGAAGCAAAAAATGCAAACTGCATTATTTCTTTCCAGAGTTCCTCCTCAGCCTCCACCTGCGCCAAGTCCACGTGATGATCATAAGTATCCCTAAAATTGAGTAGCAAGCTTTGGAATCTTTAAAATTAGTGCCTAACTGCTTCAGCTTTTATTAAAAAAATGTTAGGAGTTCTACTGTTGTCTCATATGAAAGTAGAACTGCATCTTAAAAGAAGAATGACAGCTTTGGGTTAATCAATCTTTTCAGATTTCTGCAGTGAGAGGTGTTAGGTCAGCAGGCTGTGTGGGCCAGCCACATCCTCAGAACTTCCTGTCAGGGCCAGTCTGTGTGATGCTGCACTTCCTTTTGGAGACTCCTCCATGTGCATACCTGGCTGTGTAAAAGAACCACTGCTAAAACTGAGTCTGAGCAATTAACAGAAAAAATGGGAAGGTGTTTCAGAGTGAAGAGGGGACATGAAAGGCATGCAGCCCAGATGGGGTTTTGTGTTTGCTTTCAGTCTGGCTGGCTCCATGGCCAGTTGGAATGTGAATTGGACTGTGAATCGGTCTGGCTGAAAACTGCCCCGTTGCTTGCTGAGTCAGTTTTTAACCAGTCCAGGTTATCTAATCTGATGCACTGCGTGTGGCTCACCAGCACTCAGAGGAGGGGAAAGGGCAGGTGGGGGAGGAAAGAGCACGGCCTCACCTTCTGAAGGCAGTGTGCATTTAGATAAAGCTATTTTCTGTTTGGAGCCCAAAATAACAGCAGAGAGGCAGCTGGAGTATTGTTGGGAGAGTATTAGCACCACAGACCAACACACAGTTTTCAGCTCCTTTTAAAGTCATCTGACTATAGAAGTGTAACACGGCATATTGATCAAATTATTTGGTTCTGAAAATATGTGGGTTTCTTATGTGATTTTAGGCAAACTATCATGGCTCTGAGGATAAGAGTGTGGATACAGTCAGTACTGAAATCTTACCGAGTTGTTCCAGGGAAGTAGATTCCTTGCAACGGAAGGTTTGTTATGTAATATTTTTCTGTTTTTATAGTTTGTGCTTTCTGATGTTGCTTTTCTGGATACTATAGAACAGCTGAATTGCTGGTATATTTGTGAGAGACTATGGATTATATAAGGAGCACCTCTGTATTCAGAGGAGAGACTGGAAGTGGTTTGAACTCAATTCCAGGTTGCTGTTCTGCCTACCAAGGTCTGCGTCCTAAAATGTTATACAGTGTAACAGAGGTTGATAGAAGCTATGTGCTTCTGTCCAGTGTCAGTACTGTCATCATGAGGTGTTGATGTTACATCATGCTGCCAAAACTAACAAACCTGGCCTTATATTTTCAGGTTGTTGAATTCTGTTGGATTTTAAGTGGTGGGTTGTGGGTGTAGAGAGCACATTAGTGGCTGATGTGCCATCCAACACAGCAGCTGCTGTGCAGTGATGCTTGTGTAGCTGCTGGGGCTCTCACTTCCCTCAGCCATTTGCAAACCCAATGGGATATGGAATTTTAATGTTGCTTTTTCTACTTAGTATGTTTTACAGTTCTCCATTTATTTTTATTTTTTTTTCCACCCCCCTCTGATGTAAACTTAAATTTTAAGAAGATTCAGTTTCTATTCTTACAGAGGTTACTCTTCAACCCATATAACAAACAGGTTTGGTATCTCCCATACTGGCCAGTCCCATGGAAAGTAGTATCTTCAGCACCTGATGTATTTATCATGGGGTTGTTGCTCAACTAGAGAAACGTGCCTCTGTTAACCCGAGTTTAATGTGTTGGTAGGGTTGGTTTTGAACAAGCTGGTTTGAGCGAGATGCGAATAAAATGTCTTGCTATTGCAGCTTGCAGAATGCCTGGAGCGGAACGCCAGATCACGGGAAAGCCGCAGCTTTTATATTTTTAAGCGGTACTTGAATAAGATTTTAAATGAAGCTGGGAAACTTGGCCTTGTAAGTATTTGAACAGTCATTAAATTTAATTAAAATTCATAGTACTATTGTATGTGTTTTTCACAGTTATCAAGTATTGATAATTATTCTGACCTGCTTGAATTTAAAATGAAAGGAACTGAATTGCAAAGGAAAAAAATCATAGAAGTGTGTGCAGCCAGTACTGCCATTGGCAGCTGTGTTTGCTGAGGAGAAACAGTTGCCATTTGATCTGTAAAGTATCCAAAGGAAGACTGTAAATGCAGAGTGTGTATCTAAATGCATGTTGCTGGGATGTACCTATAGTAACACCCTTTTCAGTTCATGTTTATGGTTGTTAAAATTAAAAGATCCAAATTTTGTTTGTTTATTTGTAGACCTCTTAGGCCTTTTAGACTCTACCATGTTAACCATCTAGGGATAGTAGCTTATGAGTTTGCATATGAGAACCACCTTATTACTTCATTTATTATATTATCTTTGGAGATATTTTTTCCTATTAAAGGTAAAGGACTTTTTTGCAATTTTTGCAACAAGCAAAATGACTGTTTGACAAAGAACATTACATTCAGCAATGTGAAATTTCTTATTTCAGTATGTAATAGCTTCTGTCTGTATTATGCAGCCATGATTGGGACACACTTAATGCATTAGTAATTAATACTTTTTAATGAGAAGTGGTTCTAAAATTCTAATAGGTGAGGTAACCCATTTCATTTTTCAGGTTTTTGCTGTAGAATCAAAAGAGTACCAAGAACTAGAGTTTCTGTTTTGTATAGTTTGGAAGAATAAACAGAAAAATTACAGAATTATAATGTATTCCCCTGTCTTTATCCTGCAGTCTGCTTCAGAAAGGTGCTGGTACATAATGAGGTTTTTGTATATGGACACAGGTATTTGTTATTTACTTCTATTTCCAGATAAGCAGCTTTAATTATTGTTTTGCTTTGCTTTTTATTCAGCCTGAGGAAAATGTAGGCCATGTACATTATGATGCTGAGATCATCCTTACAAGACAGACATATTTGGAGATCATTAGGTTTCTCAATGAGGACACTTGGCAGTCAGGTGCTGTGGATGATGCACTTAGTGATATTTTGATCAACTTTAAGCACCATGACTATGAAGCTTGGCACTGGAGATTTGAAGACACTTTTGGAATTGATCTACGTAATCTGTTTATGGTAAGAGAAGAAAAAAGGTTTTATTGTCGTTGCTTTTTTAGTGCTGTTTTCTCCAGGTCTTTTTGTGCAAGTCTAGCCAGTGAGAATCACCATCTTAACTCCCAATCTAAACCAGTTCTTTCCATTGTATTTAGAATGAGTCGGTCATTTTATTCCATGGTTGCTGAAGATAGAGGTGATGTTTTAACCTGAAGCAGGAATTAATGTTGTTTATTCCTGTGCTCATCTTTGTCTTATTGTAGCTTTGCAGTTTTTTCTGGTATGCTTTTTTTTTTTTCTGTCCTTTATATCTATGTTGTGTAAATCGTCAGATTGTAATACTTTCTTACCACTTAAAGTGACAACAGGTGTTACCAATTTTCCAGATTTGTCTCTTGTTCAAATAGATGCTGAAGCCGTTGGCTTCTGCAGGAGTTGGAATATATTTATATTGTGACAAGTATATATTTGAGGTCTTAGGTTTTATAGGCTAGAGGTTTTTGTGAATTTTCTGGAAAAGAATTGGATAGTGTTGGCAAGGAGAGCATGAAAATGCCATATGTGAAAATGCCATGTTCTATGAAATGGAATAATGAAGTGCTAAGATGAGGATCTAGAATAAGCTTAAGCTGTCTGAATAAATATTTTCAGAACATGCTAGCATTTTATGCTGATGTGATCTTGAAAGTATCCTGTCTAGTTTTGAGACAGTTTGTGGAAGCCAAATGAAAAAAGGAAGTTGTCAGTAGCATAACCTCCCTGTCAGGGTCCTTGGATGAAAAGAGACTGCAAAGAGCTTCTCTGAAGTCTCTTAGTTTGTCTCTTAGCCAGACTGCAGGAGTTGGCTCAGCAGTTCTGTGGTTCATACTGGGCACATAGTACTCAAACACTGAATTACATAGATTTTGTAATTTAGAAGTATGGTAGGTAACATTATAAATATTACAAGGAAAAAGTAACTAAATACAAAAGAAATTATCAAGTGCAATGTAAGGCTGTGATAGGAGTAACTATTAGCAATAACATGAAACTTTACTGCCTTGTGCTGCTGCAGATGTCCTGTGAAAGCAAGGAAAGATTCTCTCAACTGTTCTGTGTAAAACCAAAAGTCAGCAGTTCCTTCATGTGTACTGGCAGTAAGCTTGGAAAATTCCAAATAAGGATGATAATTTTATCCTGTTTTCTTTTCAGATACTCTTGTGCTTAGTGTGCATCGTAGTTGTAATAGCCACAGAGCTCTGGACACACATTCATTGGTTTGTTCAGCTCAAACGTGTATTATTGATAAGTTTTCTCATCAGTTTTGCATGGAATTGGCTTTACCTGTATAAGGTAAGTTGCTCTGAAACTGTAATGGCTCTTAGGCTTCAAATTTTACAGTAATGAAAGAGTAAAGGTTATTTAGTTCCTCTAGTTAGTTCATATAAAACGATTTGACTGCAAAATAAAGGGATGAACAGTTTATTTTGCATGTTGGTAGGTGTATTAGGCTTAAAGAACAGAAGACACCCTGCCAAGTATTATCCTGCCACAGAGGCACAGAAATTCATAAGGCAGTAGATTGTAATTTCAGTGCATGGGCAAGGGAGACATGAATGCTGTCTAAAGCAGCTTGGTAGAAAATTCTTACAAAAACATATTGTGGAGTTTTTTTTCTTTCTAAAGATTCCCTGGATTAAACTGTATTTAACATATGAGAGACCAGAGATAAATGTTTCATTAATGGTGAGGAAGTACCTGACTGTACAATGGTATTGATTTTAATAAGGAGTAAATGATTCTGCTAGGTCATAGCCCAAGATCAGAATCTCCATCCTCGCATCTTGTCATTGGAATTGTACTGCAGCTTGTCAGACCCAGGAACAGCAGATTGCCAGTGGCTCTTGAACATGAGTGAACTGCCATGCAGAGCACTTGGATTCAGTCAGTGAAGAATGTCAGAGTTTTTCAACAGATTATTTGACTTAATTTTTTCTCTTTGCAAAATTAGAATGAATACAGGTATTTGTTAACAGGATTTAAAAAATAAGGGAAAATGTCCAGATATTTTAATTAGTAATTGCATGGCAGCTGTCTCTTTTTTTAATCCAGAAACATCTTAAGGAAACAAGATGTCATATTGCTTTTGCCCTGAACTTGTACCTCTGAATACTGGAGTTAGCTCCTCTGGTAGTTCAGACTCCATTTGGAGAACAGCTCAGAGGCAGCCACGTTGCTGCTCTTTATCCAGTCCCAGGAAATACTTAGAATTTAACCAAAAGTGTTTAGCTAGCAAACTTTTCTTAGGACAGATTCACCCAGGTTATGATCCCAAACCTGCTCAGAGCAAACACTGTTAGCTCAGGCTCAGTGCTGCACGGATGCAGGTTCCTTTGCCTACTGTTTTGTTCTACAAGGAATTCTTCTCCTACAGCTGGCCTTTGCACAGCACCAGGCAGAAATTGCAAAAATGGGACAGTTTGATAATATCTGTGCTGAGAAGTTGGACTGGAGAGAAAGTCTTCTTGGTAAATACTTGTTTCATTAACCTGTTACAGCATTTAAGATTACAAAATATTCAGTTATGTTATCCAAGAATACCCTTTAATTTCTTCATGAGCAGTACATTGAATCTTCTTCAGCAACACGTGATTATGTGCTTTTACTATATTTTCCATTCCACAAGACTTCCTTTCCGAGGCCTTTGAAGGAGAGCTGATCACAAAACTGTGCATGTGAGAGCATGTCATGGTCTTACTTCTGCATGCTTATCCTTATATTCTTATCCTGTTGTTTTCCCAGCTCCCCTCCTCCAGTACCATTCAGTGCTATTCAGTGAAGATAGGAGGGCAGAACTCAGAAAAAAAATTGTTTTCATTTGTCAGACCTGCAAGTACAGTGAACCAGAATTTAGATCTGTAACTACTTACTCTAGTTTTGTTATATTTACAGACAGATCTCAGTTTTTTTGTTAGCCATTATCCAGTGCTACAGCAGGTAGGTTAATGATGGCAATGCTTAGTCAGAGGGCTTGTCATGGTCTTCCCTCTAGATGTATTGGCTCTGATTGCTGTGTTTATGTCAGATTTCAATGGTTTGTGTTCTGACTGCACTAAAAGCAAACTGCAGAAGCACTGATATGATAACTTACATGTTTATAGCTTAAAGTTTGCTAAAGAAGTAAGACTTCCTAACTAAATTGTATCTTGAAATCTAGCAAGAACAATAGCCATTTTTTATCTGCTTGCAGCCTGGCAGATGAGTAGTAACACTCAGAATTACTTCTGTTTCAGTAATTGTGGACTTCTGATACTTTTAGGGACTAAGTTAATCTAAGAAGAACTTAGTTGATTAGAAAACCTCTGTTTTCTTTCTTCCCCCCCTTCCCTCTTCTTCCTGCATCCCCATGACTAGATAAACTAGACTGCTGAGCTACTCTCAGATTTTAAAAACCAAATTTGAGCTTTGAACTGTATCTGGAAGAGTTATTTTCCATCTATAACTGAAATACCACTTCCTGTATTACTGCTGTGTCATAAAATACATCTTTTACAGCAGTAAAAGTGTCTCTGCTTTGGCTACAGAGTGGCTCAGAAGTAAATGGACGTTTCAGGATGATCCCTGTCAGAAGTACTATGAAACTCTACTAGTAAATCCTGTTCTGCTGGTCCCACCAACAAAGGTATATACCTAAGCCTATAGAGACCCTTCATGTTTTTGTTTGCAATCAGTGACAACATTGTTTCTATTTATTTTTGTAGGCGTTGGCAATTACTTTCACCAACTTCGTAACTGAGCCTTTGAAGCACGTAGGAAAAGGTATTGGTGAATTCATCAAAGCACTTATGAAGGAGATACCACTTATTCTGCAGATTCCAGTGCTCATTATGATGGCACTAGCTGTTCTGGTTTGTATACATTTATCTTACATTTAAAAGCTCAGTTTTATTTTTTCCTATCTTAAACTTACTTATATTTAAGTATTATTTATTATATTATTTATTTGTACTACTGAAGATAGTTCTCAGCTCAGAAGAAATTATTTCTACAAGGGCACTTTTTCTTGACAAAATCTTTATAGTACAGTTGGTTTAGCCATTAGAATAGGTAAGTTTGTATTTAAACCTCATCTCTCCCTCCCCACATGGGATGAAGTAGCATTAAATTGCTTTAAACTTAAGAATCCATGATAGTTTAGTGCAGCTTATTTCCCATTTCTTTAGTGTCATTACACACTGGTGCATACAATGGGTATTCTGTGCATGGAGGCTCTGAGGTGGAGCCTTCCAACACATTTACTGTAGCATCAAAGGTGAACTACAGTAGCTGTATTTATTGTAGCTGTTCTGATCACCTGAGCTTTCCTTCCAGTGTTCACAGAGACTTAATTTTGAATTCTCTGTGACAACTGGATGCTGCAAATATTTAGTGTTAAGTTTTGGATTTTTTCCTCCCCCAGGCTTTCTGCTATGGTGCAGGATCATCAGTGTCTGTGATAAGATACTTAACGTCTTCTCAGAAGAAAAGTCTTCCTCCACCTGAGAGTCATCAGAACATAGACTTCGGGCACTATGATGGCAGTGAATCAGATGGCTATTATTTGCAGAATCTTCACTATGTTCATAGACGACCTTCTGACAGAGGAGATGCTCCTGTGAGGCCAGGAAATGGCAGCAGAATCCTTGACGTGGTGCATACAACCCAAGTGCCAGACACGCAAGTAGAAGAGTCTCCCAAACCAGAACCTGGTGTATGTTAGTCCTGTGTTAATTAGATTTCAGTGTCATCTGCTAGAACATGTTTCAACAACAACCTGAAGCCCGGTCTTTGGGAGAAGGGAGTTAAGGAAGTACCTGTTCCCTGGTGGAACAGTTCAGTAGAGGCATCTTGGGCATATTTTGCACAAATATTGTGCAACGGCCAACTCTGGCAGGAGCCTACTGAATTGAAACTACCTTTACATTAAAGCCTTAATTAACCTCTGTTTTGAGAGACAGAGTACTTATGCCAGCCTGAGTAACAATGATTACCCCAGAGGAGAGGCAGGGAAAGGAAGTAGTGTTGACTTTTGTTTAAACTATAGAAAATGAAAAACTTAATTAAAAAAAAAAAAGTTTAAAAATAGACTTATACTCTAGCTTTGCTTATTTACATGTTTCCCTAGGAAAAAAATATACCAGTTCTGCCTTTTGAGCTGAGATGCACCTTAAGCAACAGATACCATCACTTTAGATTGCTTGATTAATAGCTTATTATTAATTTTTACAGAATAGATTGCACACTGAGTCTGAAGTTCCTAGACTAGAAACTATCACAGCTGAAAACCTTACTGAAGAACATATACTTGAGCAGCAGAAACAGGAGACAGGTAAAGCAGAGCGAGAGACTGGAGAAGACTGTGATCCTAATAAAAACCTGAGAGAGAAAATTCCTGCAATGGAACCATGCAAAGAGCCGAGCAGCAGTTCTCACAGGACTCCCAGGAAGGAAACTACAGAAGAAGAGGAGCAGGTCTCACGTGACTCACCAGGCAGAGACTAAGGAAGCCCCAAGCTTTGCTGTAAGTGTTGTCTAATCTTTAGTTGTCACATTCTTGCTAGCTCTGCGCAAGTTCTCAAATCTGGAAAAGCAAACATGTGCGAGCTGATGGGAACTCACCTTTGGTCAGAGCACTGGTCTGCACAGTTGTAAGGTGGGGTTTTAAAAACTGAGTATACATACTACTTCTAGAATTTGAAATAAGTATGTTGTTACGTTAGGCCTGTTTCCTTGGCTACTTTTACTATCTGTGGCATCTTGCTGGTTGTTTGAAATCAAATGTATGTTAGAAGTTTTCAGTAAAACTAGATACTTGGTGGTGAGAAAGCACTGGTACTCTGATCTAGCAGAGTTAAGCCTCATCAGGTCACTGTCACACACTGAAGAAAGTTGCTGGTGGTTCATGCAGTGCACATAAGACTGATCACGGCTCAGATAGATGCCTCCAAACTATATTTTGCTTTATAGTATTTAAAATCAGTTTTGAGTAAGTAGAATTGCTGGTGTCAGCTTAATTTTATAATTTGCAGAAGAGTGAGAAGCTGATGTTGAATCAGATGTGGTTTTTTAGGGTGATTCCCCAACAGGGAATAGGAAGCACTCAGTAAAAGTACCAATCACCATCACAATAAACTGATCATAACACATGATTTTTTGAATAATTTTTCTAGCATTTCTCCTTAAAAGCTGAAAATTTTAGTTTCAGTGGGAATCAATTTTGGTGCTAAAATGCTGCAAGAATATGTAGAATTTTCAGCAACTGTAAAAGTTGGAATTACGTGGAGCCTGTATCTGTTGAACTATTCTTAGGAATGATATTTCATGCTGAAGCTAAAATTGGCTGTAGATTCTTCTCTAGGGGTATAGTACTTGAATTAAAAATTCACATAATTTATAAATACCTGAAGTGAACAGTTTGCCACCCTTGGTGTTAAAATCAGTGGCCTCTAACTCAAGACACCTACCTGAAATATAACATGTAGCTTTCACTGTTCTGAAGACCTACCTCTGTTACAGGTATTTCCTGAGGGCAAGACTAAGTTATAACTGTTGTGCCCAAGATCTACCCTAGCACAGCATGTCCTTACCAAGAGAAGCAGTGGTAGCTGAGGTCAGGTAGTGAGCATCACACACACATTCACTCCTCATTGCATTTTAAATTCCATCACAGCAGGAATTGTGATGTCCATGGTAGTTCACAGGAAGTGTCCACCACCCCTGTGATTCCTTGGTGCATGGACTGCTACCACACAAGCAGTGCCAGCTGTGACTTAAAGACAATAGTTATCTTCTTAAATACTTACCTTCTTAAAAACAAGCCTTCTGATTGTAAAACTCTGCTAGGTAACACAGGAAACACTTAACTAAGCACTACAAAAAAACCCAGCATGTTTTCAAAATAATGTTTTTGTAGTAAAGGGAAATAAAAGTAGGGTTTGTTTGGGTTTTTTTGTTTTTAAATAACAATAATTTGAGAAACAAAGACAGACTTAAGTACTGAAGTTATTTCTCAATTATTATTTTTTTATTTAAAAAAAGTATAAAAGAAAACAGGACCTTTTTCAGGGAGGTACAAATCAGAACAAAAAAAATAATAAAGTTTTTTTTAAAAAGAACATAGAAATGTTGGTCTTAAACTAGATAGAGACAGTGGTAGAATCCACACATCAGCAATGAGAATATCTTGACAGGGAAAAAAATTACATTACTGTTCCTAGCCTAGATACATTTAAGTGGGAGATGATCCAGTAATTGATATCTCAGACACTGCAAAAAGTAGTGGCAAGTAATTCCTGGTTTTTTATACAAAGATTATCAGAAAGGGGACAAAACTACTAATTGCAATATTCTGTAAAAAGGCATGTATGTTTTTACAGCAAACAAAAATGATACCTAGGATGCTACTGTACAGTATGCACCTGTTTCTTTCTTAAGCTGGAATTTGGTCCCTTTATAGTTGAAGGTAAATGGACTCTCTGCTCATCCATTCTCTTAGCTTGTGACCGTAAAATCAGGCTGAAAAAATCCTCATCTGGTACAGTTGGTCCTTTCACAGATGATGGAGGAGCACATCTTTGATCATCCAGTCTGGAACCCTACAGACAGACCAAGCAATAAAGCTGCATCTTTACAGGAATATATATAATAAGTGAACAATCTAAGTGCACAATTACTAAAAGCTTTTGTTTTCAGATTTAAAGCTATTACAAGGATTTGACTTGTAACTTTTGTTTCGAGTTAAACTTCTCAAATCATTAAGATTGCAAGTATAGCTAAAATGGTGCCTCCAAACCAGTTGTGCACCAGTATCTGTAATTTAGTTATTGTTCATATTGCAGAATGAGATTTATGGGTCCTTCTTCCAGAAGAATAATTTTATCATTAGTACTTGATACTTCTAGTCTCATGTAACAGAAAATATGGTTATCTTCATTCCCTTATACAGGGGGTAAAAACCAGCCACACTGTTGTCAGCTATTCAGATAAAGGTGCACGTTACACAGTGTTACAGAGCAGGTCGCTAACACCCCTGAGGCAGTTTCCACCCTCTCCCTCAGTCTGTGCAGGTCACCTGAGGAACAGCGTGGCTTCCAGTCTAGGATGGACCTTGGACAGTCACCTTTGAGACAAGAAGTCTCAAAAGTCAGCTACCCTTTTGTGCTTCTGTTTAAAAACACAGCAGCATCCATAATGACTGAGGGAGTTAAATTTTTCCATTCCTTTCTCTCTCTGAAGCACAGGCAGCCATCACAGTATGTTTGCTGCATATAGTGCATGGGAAGAGACAAAATCTATCATATTAGACTCAAAGAAGTAAACAGAGAAGCTGCTAAAACAGAATATGGCATTGCATCAGCTTGGTGAACGCTGTCATGGTAGACTCAATTCCAGGTGCTGTTAACATACTTACCTTTGGAGAACTCAGAATCTGAATTTTGTATTTTGAGATCCCTTATTAATCCATGAGGTAAAACACTTTTTCATTACATTAGTTTTGGTCTAATGGGTATAGATAACAGGTTCTAATTGACAACAGACACCTCATTTCTATATTGCTATGAACTACTATTTAAACTTAACAACTGGAGTGATGATCACTATCACCACTAAAACTCTGGTACTGAATTCTTTCACTTGGTAAGCTAGGACTCCTGGAATATCAAGTGTCCTCCTAAGAAGCCAGATCTAAACACTTCTTAAAACCATTTTACATACTCCTTTTAATAGCCTCATTCATTTTCCTTCTCTTTTTCAGCATTTGTTGTTTTAAATGGGTAACATGTTATACCAAAATTATACCTACTGGACACAGGATAATTTGGAAGAAAACCCCACCTTGAAAAAAACCCTATTTTTTTGTTCTGTATGTTTTCCCTTATCTGGCAAATCAATTTGTCTTAAAACACGTGATACTAAACAGTAGAATACACAAAATCTCCGAAGACGTTGGTAAACAACTTACCTGACATTTTATCAATATATCAAAGAAGTCATCGTCTGGTTCCCTGCTGTTACTTGCCATGAGGTGGCTGAGGACCGAGCAGCTGCTGTGCTGGCTCAGCCGAAGCCCGGGCAGGTGACTGAAGCTGGCGCGCTGGTCATCCAGCCGGCGGCTCTGGGAGCTGGCAAGCAGGTCTAGGAAGTCATCTGTGTGCGGTGAGACTACAGAAGTAGAAAAAGCTGGGGAGGAGGAACACAAGTTAGTCTAGAAATAAGTTCCTTTCCATAGCAAGTCTGGCATGCACATAACATTTTTAAACAGTATTTGGCAGGAACTACAGTCAGATATGGATTTTACTTTTTTATAAATTACATTTTCTCATTGTTTTAGGTGGAGTAGAGGACATTGCCACTGAAGCAGCTGAGAATCTGTTCTTCTCCTGGAAGTGGTATCTCTGATCATCCATCCTGTTACTCTGGAATCGGCTCAGCAGATCAAAGAACCCTTCATCTGCCATTGTCTCTCGACTGTTTTTCTGAAGAAGAAAGAAGAGTTTAGGGGTATTTGGAACTCAGGAGTGCCTAAGCCAGGAGAACTGCACCACAGGTTCAATCCAGTAGTGTGATTGGCATTTGTGTATCTAAAATCCATTAAATGAATTTTTTTAGTTACCCATTTCTAGAGAAATTTATCCTAAGATGAAATGCTAATAATAACATGGCAAGCTTTTTTGGAAGGTAAAATACATTACAAATGTTTCATTCTCTGAAACAGAAAGAATTGAACAAGAAGATCAGCATAACTGGAATTATTCCTCCTCAGCTGTGAAGCCTCCAAAATCACCCACGCCACAAAATAAAAAACCCAGGAAAGACAATGAAAAGTTTCCATTGTCTCCTCAGGCCTATGGTCAAAAGCTCTCATCTCTCACCTAGATCAAATTACTCCGTTCCTTCATTTTTAAATTACTTCTGCCAAGAGTGCAATAACCTAAAAAATGTTAAAAATCTCTCCCACTGTCTGAACCAGGAAAAAGTGAATATTTTTTTTTTAGAGTTGGAAGAAGCAGGGTCTAGCAGAAACTTGGAAATAAAATCCATGTGAAAGCTGAGCTGTAATTTTAGAAAAATCCACCCAAGAAAATGTTCCAGTAGTAGGAAAAGCTTAAAGCTGGCACCACTGCCTGAGACAGCTGCAGAATGGCAGGTTCTGTATCAGTTTACAGAGCCACCCTGTTTAGATCAAGTAAAACTGAAATGGGCAGCTGGACTCTTTCCTAATTCTGATCAGACCAAGATGTGCAAAAGCCATGATCTCCACAGCTCGCCAAACCTACCCTCTGAGAGTTTGGATGTCGATGATCAATAGAATTACTGGCATCCTGCAAAACTTTGGAAGCGGTGCCGTTTTTGTACTTTTTGCCTTTTAGTCGATTTACAAAATGTAGTTTTGCTGAAGGTTTGGCAACCAGTGGTTTCTGTTTAGCAAGAATCTCACTGTTCCAGTTCTGAACCTAAGAAAACAAGAGTCAGGAAATTAACCCTTCTGATTGTAATGACCTATACTGTTACCTCTTATTTGCAGCTTCTTTCCCTCCCCAGATTGAGGCAGTTTTACCTTATTTCAGTTATCCAACCATGAGGATGTGAAAACGTAGGTTTTGGTTCTCTTACTTGGCATGTTGTTATTGAGTTCTTGGTACCTGAAGCAGGTTAGTTCTGTTACTGATCAGTCTGACAACTGAACAGTAGTGTGACACCTGATGAATTAAAATGTCATCAAATAGTCTATGTACTCAAACACACTGAAGTTTTCCTTGCTGTCTGCAGCGCAGGAACTGTAGGTAATGTAAACATTCAAATGCAGACACTGCTGGCATTTCCCACCTGACATTCTTGTAATTGGAAATAAAATTAAAAATCCATACTGAGTGCTAGACAAAAAAAAAACCCTTATACAAATCCTGATACTCAACCAGACTCCTGTGAAGTCCTTGATATACACAAAATTCCCAGTAAAGATTGGAAAGAGAGGAGAATGCCAGCACAAGAGCCAACAGGAATAACCAGCTTTATCCCCTGACAGATTTTCCCTAAATTCTCTCGTAAAATAAATTATTCACAAAACAAACAGGTTTCTCTAAAACTGACAAACTCTTAAAATAACTGAATAAAACCCTATTTTTTTCGTGATTGAACATGAGAAGTTGAGAAGACAGTCACCAGTCTTTCAGCAACACTGCCTACCTAAATGGATTGCCTTTTAACAGCACATCTAAGATCAGCACAGATTTCAACTCTAAAGAGATGGTGTCCTGTACAATCAAACCATACCACTTGTGTCAAATGTTGTTCTATATATCAAAGACATTTGTGGAACGAATTTTCAGAATCTGCTCAATGTGTATCTTGGAAAAAGCCCTTTATAAGAGCTGCAATCTAGGTTAATACTTTATTACAGAAATCCATATGAAACATTTGACTATATTTTAGGACACAGACCATCATAGTCTGTATACTTTAATAGATATCCCTGGTAAAGAGTTTCAGAGTAAGAAAATATAGTGGATACTGGCCAAAAACTTAAGAGGTTCCCTGCAGAGGACTCACCCTGGACTAAACAATCTCTTTAAAATCAGTACATAAAGAGGCTCTTAAGCATCAGAGCTGACTCCAGCTGTACCAGCTGGCCAGATCCAAGCTTTGTGATTTACTTTCCTATTCGATATACACAATGGCAGGCTTTGCATCACTTCAAGAGAAAGGAAATAAATATCTCAGTGTGAAGGGAAATAATAGCAATTTCAGTCTGCCACTGTAGTAATTTCTGTGGAGCTGCCAGCCCAGTGTTTAAAGGCAGACGGAATATGAAGGAAATGTCTCAAAGATTGACACATGGATTTTAATGAAGAATTCCCCACTCAAAGAGATTTATATGAGCTTGGGAGGAAGGCTCTTTACCTATCTGTGACTTCTGAAGGAGCATCTTTACTCAAGACAGATGTTGCAACATCTTATGGCTAACAAGGTGGTTGAAATCCCAAAGTGAAAAACAGACAGGTATTTTAAGTTCCTATAAAATTCCTGTAACAAAAGAAGTGTTCAGTACAGCTCAGCTAAAGCTTAGGAATTTTACTCTGAATCACTTTCATGCCCCAACTGCAAAATGCTATTAAAGAGGAGATGGCAGGGATTCCTCTGACACACACTACAGGAACCCCTTCTTATTTTTGAGGGGAATAAAGCTTCCCATAAACCATTGTGGATGTGAGATGCTGACTGTTACCTACACAACAAAAGCATTATTTGTCACAGAAACAGAAAGAAGGAAAAGTACTGACCTTTTCTGGTGTTAATTTCATAAGTTCCATGTTCTCCATGCTGTGGCGGCGTCCTACTCTTGGTCTGGTACCTTCAAGAAAGAATCAAGTTCTTTTTATCATTAGGATTTATAGTGTCACCCTGAAAGCTGAAGCTGTACTCAGCTGAGGTCCAAGATACAGCAATTCTGAGTTCCAAAATAGTGCAGTTAAACAAACAAAAATAAGCAGAGAATAAACAAACACATAAGCAGCCTTCAAAACCACCAATCTAAGGTACATAAGTCGCTTTCACGGGACACGAGGACCGTGGATCTCTGAACAGAGGAACATCAAATGAACTGGGCTCTACTGTAACGCCTAGTGTTGCCAAGATGGTAGGAATTAAAAAGGAAAAATTTGGCACCAAACACATTCATCTCCCACGTTAAAAAGATTTTTTTAAAGAAGGGGGAGGAACAATCGGGAATATTATACGAAGAAACTAAGCAGTAACTGGGGATTCATAATACAGCTGAAGCAGTCCAATACTGCAGAAACCACCTTTTTTGCTGGTGGGGTAAAAAAAACATGCAGACTCGACCAGTAGTTAGAAAAGGACACAAACAACAGATTGTTTTTGAAGGTCACCATTAGAAACTAGTGCAGAAAGAGGCACGCACCATTCAGACTCCTATCTACTGCCTGGCTTTCTGACATCATGGAGTTGTTTGTGCTGTAGCTTAATCCAAGAACCATCTGAAGATCTGAGAGATTAAGTCTAGCAGTGAGTTCTCCACTTCTATCTCCTACCTGCAAGCACACAAAATCAGCAGTTTTATTACTGTAACAAAGAATACACACAGGTGTATATAAAGTAAACCTGTCCCTAGATTTCTGAGAGAAAAAGGCTGAAAAATATTTCCTCTTTGAAAACTGAATCATCTTTTTAATCAAGTACATAACAACTAAAAGGTACAAACTGAAGCCTGAAATAAACCCTGCTAGTCTACTAACTTAGATTCCATGCTGACATTATCAGAGATTGTACAAGGACTAAGGAGACAGTTGCAGGACACACCTCCTTAGAACCACCTTGTAAGAGCAAAAACTTACCGATCAACATAGAAAGAGTCCTACCTCTCTTGAAATCTCCAAGTGTCTCTCTGCAAAATGCATAGCTTGGTCATGATTCCCTAGAGCAGTATATGCATTCCCTAAACTCCAGCATGCTCTTCCTTCACCAATTCTGCAAAAAATAGTTTTCAGTTATACCTTTACTGGCTGAACACTAGGGGTCAGGTTTTCATACTGTTGCCACAGGAAAACTGCTTGCTGAGAAATACAAAGTCTTATCATCAGAAACCATTCCAACATCAACATGTTAAGTATTGTATTTAAAGGAATGTGATCTGGGTATAACCATAAATATGAGCAAGCCTAATCAAACTTCCCATTTTTAAGCTTGCAGCAAACAAGGCACTCGGTTTTGCAAGCACAGAACATTTTTATAACCTATTTTGCTTTTGTTCAGGTTGCATTCATTATTATTCATATATTCTGCTTAGATAGAAGGAGTGCATTTAAAAGTTGTGAAAGGTTTTAGTTGTACTCAGTGTTATAAAGAAGGCCTTAGAAATCATGGTTACAAATTAAGTATTACTTGCTCCTGTATTGTTCTCTTTGCCCCATCCCTTCCCATATTCTTATTTTGAGGAAAAGTAGATGTATTCTTGTGAAGGTATGCAAAATTATTATGAGCCATGAAAAACAAAATCCTGCTTTTCTTTTCCTTTATTTACAAAGAAGATGCTGACAGAGGAAGATGCAGAGACAGAGTCATTCATCAGTTCCTCTTTCATCTCAGACTCATTACCGTAATACCTCCCCATATGAAAAATGGAGCCCAGCATAGCAGGCAATTGCATTAATTCAGGTGTCTTATACAGCACAAGGACAGTAGAGTTAGAGGCAGCAGGACTTGGTTTCTGTGTCTCTTAGGACTTACTTATCATTTAATTCCTGAGCAATCACAAGGTGTTTCAAGTGGTAATCAATAGCTTTTTCATAGTCTTGAAGCAAAGTGTATGTGTTCCCAAGGCTGTAGCAGGCCTGTGCTTCCACAGCTCTGTCTTTAAGCTGTCGAGCCAGCTGTAACGTCCTCCTGAAAGAAAGAGTTAGTCACCTCAAAAGTCACTTTAAAGAAAGGTTTCTAAAAGAATACTTGCACAATTAAAAATCAGTTATACAAATTAAACAAATCAGGATACTGGGCTGGCAAATTAGCTGCTAACAAATTACTATATTGTAAACTTAAGATTTTAAGCACCTGTCTCCCACTCCCCTCCAATGCAAATTATTTCCATTTACTGTATTAGAGAGCAGACTGATCCCTCAAACAGCATCTTCTAATTCTAATTTGTTGTTTAATCAATAATTCACAGCAGTTTTCCTGACAGTATGCACTGGAAAGAGTTTAGTACCAGCATTACAATAAATTATTCATATTCACCACCATCATGAGCAAGACAGACCTATAACCACCAAGTCAGCCTGCCCCTGCTGGGTAAGAAGAATTTGAGTGTTAAGAGGAATCTGTTCACTATTGAGGCTTTTTCTCCCTTTCAGAAAGAACAGGTGAGCTCTGAAATCCACCTAAGATGCTAACAACACTTGTACTGTATCTTTGCTGAGTTGGCATTTTCCCAAGTTACAGCAGCAACTGCTTAGTGGTGCAGATCTCAAAGAAAAAAAAGGTCTGGATTGAAAGTAAAGACTAAATATGTAAAAATGTTGAGGTGCACCAGCCATCTCACTGGTGAGTATACCTGAGCCAGCTACCCAGTTCAGGTCATTCCAGAACTTGCTAGGAAAGCTACAATAGTAATGCCTGGTTCTAGAATAAAGAGGAATAAATGCATATCAATAGAAGGATGTCTGCAGTGCTGAGAAGAATCTATTTAAGGTAACAAAAAAGTTAAATAAATTAAAAATATTAATTCTGCCCCTCCCTTAAAAGAATCAGAATGGTTAAGCTACTACAGAAAAATGTTATTGTTGCTGAACAATGCAGCTCTTTAAAAAGTGTTGAAGAGATGGCACTTCTACAGTGAGCTGAAGTACTAGGCACAAGAGAAGTAAACGGAAAAAAGGAAAAGGTATAAATTACACTTATAAGTAGTCAACTAACTTGTAGTATTCAGAAGCAGTTTCAAATTCACCCAGGAATATGTAGGCGTTGCCAAGATTGCTGTATGCTCTTCTTTCCGCTGATCTATCACCAAATTCTTTTGCAATTAGGAGACGCTTAAAAACGTGAAATAATTGTGTTATTTACTCAATTTTGTACTTTGTAATAGACATTTTGTTACAGAAATGCATGCGCGTAGTTACTCCACTGTGCATCTATATCTGTTCTTTAGGCAAGCAATGCTTGAAAAGAACAGCCAAACTTGAAGCTTGCCATTAAGATTTAAAACTTGCATTAAAAAGCCTGAAAGAAGATCCAACACAAGATATGTACTTACTGCCAGGAGCAACCGGTGATACTTGGCTAGAAAACATTCCTTACTAGCACATTGTTGTACCTGTTCATGGGCTAAAACTGCACTCCTGAAGTTGCCCAGAAGATAGTGTGTGTTTCCCAGATTTCCAAAGGCACGTCCTTGTGCTGCTCTATCACCCAGCTCTGTTACTATTGTCAGGTTTTCCCTGTTTTGGAGGAAGTGGAAAGGGGAAGAATAGGGAATTTTCAGAGGGTTTTTTCTTACAGTCATTCAAATAATATATATTTTTTTTAAATCTTTCCATTTATGTAAAGGAAAAGGAAGAGGTATTCTGCCTTGGCCTATTTTGTCTTTATGCAACCACAATTTTCCACTCAGTAGGAAACACTTCCTGTGAGATACTGAACTTAACTGCATTCTTAATCAAGCTGGTGTGCTTGCTTCTACAGCTACATTATACACAAGTATAAAGAGGTCCTATTGTCTCAGTCTGGATTCTAACCTAAGGGAAGGATTTACCTGGTATTAAGAGGTACACTAAAAATGAGAGAATAATGAAAACGTGCTCTTTCCAGTTTCAAATGGAAAAAATTCTCAGATACCCCTGCTGTGAACAGAAATGTGCTCATGACAGCACAAATCACAGTGCTCTATTGAACTAGATGATCATATCCTCTTAATCCCCAACATTTAGAGATACTACTTACTCATAATAATCTGCAGCTTTTTGTAAAGCATTTTTCACATCATCTGGAAGTTCCCCTGGATCGTGAGTTCCAGCACTAGCTACATTTTTCCCTTTAGAGTGATAAACATTTCCCAGATTATATAGTGCTCTGGCTTCTCCAACCTAAACCAAAAGTAAAATAAAGCATTTAAATTGTCTGCTTCCAAGTCTTGTGTCACAACAACTATTAGTACAATCCACAGATGGGAAAAAAAGTTTGTTAAGTAGTTGTCAACACATGCTCTGCCCATTCTGAACATGTTCTTACCACCCATTTTACTCCCACCCAGTCATGTCCCTCAATGAATTTCCTTTTGAGGTGCAAGATACATAATAACTCAAGGTCAGTTATCATTAAAAACTGAAGGAAAAAAAAACACCAAACCACAAAACAGGGTAGTATTTATTACTCTGGACCTATAAGGCCAAGTTGGATGAGGTTTTGTGCAACCTGGTCTAGAGGTAGGGTTCCCTGCTCATGGCAGGGGGATTGGAAGTAGATGGGCTTTAAGGTCCCTTCCAACCTTAATGATTCTGTGATTCTGTTCTATGATTCTATAATCTTCCAAGTGCAAACAGCCATCTTGCAACTAACAGACTCTTACTGTCTAGAAGAAATAATTGAATATTCAGTATTTACTTCCCTCTGCAAGGTGTCACACTCATTACCAATACAACAGGGTTCAGTAATATGTATTAGCAGTTGCAGATTATTTCCATATTCCTAAGCAATGCTTACCTTATCATTAAGCTCTCTGGAAATATCCAGATGTCTTTGACAACAAACAATAGCTTCTTCAAAATTCCCAAGTACCTTTAAGGTGTTGCCCAGATTCCCACTAGCTTTAGCTTCTCCCAGTAGATCTCCAATTGTCCTAAAATTGCAGAAATAAAGCACCCAGTAAACAGTATGTAATTAGAAACCAAGCAGATGAGCAATGTCTGGAAGACAATTAGAAGAGTTTATTAAAAGAAATTATAACCATGTAAATGCAAATGTATTCCGTTCATTTTATATCTAAAATGCACCTACCTATTGTTACATTTAATTTTATTGATGCTGTTTGTGCAAATGTCGGTATTCATGGTATTCATCAGCTTTTTAACATTAAAAAAACCCACTTCTTTTAGGAAGAGAATAAAGAGAAAATTCTTAATGATTATATGGAAAAATAGTGCCAGTATTAGAAAGAACAGTTTAAGAGGTTTAACTGTTTCTACATTTTACTTGACTATGATAGTCTTGTATTATTTACTGGTCTCCCAGAAAGCTCAGAGTTAGTACATTTCTAGCTTCTGAATGAGACTAAGGCAAAAGACTAACACTGGAGCACTCAAACTGACTGACACTTGGGAGTAACATAACAAAACAAGTTCCCATGAGGTTACAACACTTGAGCGGGTTAAGGCAGGGGGAAGAACAGATTTGTGCCTAAACTGAGGTTAAGCACATTAGGTGCCTGTGCCTTTTATTAGATCTATACCAAATCATTAAAAGTGAGATCCATAAATAGCACATGAAATGCATAGGGTTTTTAGATGTCACAATATTGTATTGTGAATTTTACACAGAGAAACATGAATGAGTTTGGTCTAGTAAGCAGGAAAGAGTAAAGAAAGGGTGGATTTAAAGAAACTACTTGATTATCCAAAAACCTGGAGAGGCCTCAGTCAGTACAAGGATTATGGGGCTAGACTGAGCATTAGCTCCCAGGTTAAAGGGTAATCGAGTTACCTGCCAGGCCCCCTGGCCCTCTGCAATCACCCCATTCTCTCATTATCCAGTGTTAATGGCAGGATTTGGTAGGAAAATGAACAGCCAGCTGCTCATCTCTACAAGAATAGGATGAAACAGAGAACATGGTAAATAAAGACACAAGATTACCTCGCAAGAGTTAAATCATGGTGATGGTATTCCAAGGCCTTGGTATATTCATGCAAGTAGAAATAGGCATTGCCTAACTGGCTGTAAATCGCACTGAGTGTTTTTAAATCTTCAGTTCCAACCTGAACAGCTGCTTCAAAGAAAGATACACCAGCTCGGCAATCCCCGGCTTTACACAGACGCTCGCCTTCCAACGCCAGCTCTAGACAGGAAGCCTCCATCCTGCAGAATTTAAGTGAAAAGAAAAACGGTCATTCTAAATGTAGTACTTTGTCCAATAACTTGAGTTCTGAAGAGGATATTTTACTCACGAGGGTCTCTGTTTGTTCAGAACAGAAGTGAGCACCACAGTACAAGCAATGAGTTCGGTACTATAATATTACAGAAAATAAATCATAGAATGGTTAAAGTTGGAAAGGACCTTCAAGATCATCAGGTTCCAACCTCCCTGCTCTGAGCAGGGACAATTCACGCTCTTAAGTCTCAGGGAACAACAAAATGTATGTCAATTCAAGTTACTGAACTGAGATCGCATATTTTCATAAGCCACTGCAAATTTTTTTTATTAAGAGCAAAAAATTGTGTCATTATAAAGGTACAAAATACTGCAAGCAGTAGAGTACTCATTAATTAATTTATAGCAGAATTTGCAGAAGGTTACATTTGAACAATGAAGAAAGATGATGTCAATAGAACTGCAGCTGCCAAGAAACATTAACACATATTTTTGCTACTGTGAATTCAGGTATACAAAAGGTAACATTCTAGTAAGTGTTAATTATTATATACAAACATTTCTGACTTTCCACTTTTGAGATGCAAGGGAGGTAGGGGAGAGGAGAATGAGAAGGAAGAAGAGTTAAAGCAATACAGTTCTCTAGTTTTTTCAAGATACATGTATTTTTAAAAGCTTGCCAAAACATCATTCTACTTTTTAAAGTTTTTTTCAAATAGAAAGCCCAGTAAGAGACACTATGTAAGAGTTTAAAAAGTGTGTGTTAATATTGCCAAAATTTGTATATTGTTTTCAGTTTTTCAAGATGGATTACATAGTAAGCAATAGGGCTTGCACTCCAAAACAGAACATTTTATGTAATTAAAGATATCCTTGTTCTGTCATCATTTGATATTTACCTGGTTGTAAGTACGAACCTTTTAAAATTCTATTTCTAAAACCATTTCCCTTCATATGCACAGATCAGTAATAGCAACAATCAAATGTTTGCTGTTCTAAGTTATTTTAATGGCAACACCAGAAGACAGATGTTTTGACAAGGCAAAGTGATTAAGTATTTAACATACCTGAAATGTTTCCATTTCTTATTTTTTTCTAAATCAGAAAAAATAGGTTATACAACATTCTACTCGAATCTGAGCAAGAAGGAAATATTTTTTTAAAAAATCTACTGACTTTCAAGAGAACTAGAAGAATTTGCATCATAAGTAAAACAAGCTACCAACACAAAACAGCACCATACCTGTTGGTCTTCGATGTTCCACAACTTAAGCACAATGAGATGACAGACATGTTTAACTTTTGCAATTAAAAATACAATATACTTGGTAGTTGCTAAAAATGCAAACAGCAAATTATAACTCTGGCATGAAGTTCTTCCCAGGCCCAACTTCTCAGGTTGGATATCCATAACACATGCAGTATTTTTAAGTTTGGAAACCTCTCAGAGAAATTAAAGCATTCCTATTTGCTAGAGCACACAATCCCTTTTTTATATACTGTACACGTGTTGAATGGAAGAGAGAAAAAGGCAGAAATGATTAAGTACAGTTAAGTACAGGCAGAAATGATTACACCATCAGCAACGGGAGGTTTAAGACTTAAAACACTTCATTAGGTAATCTTAATCCTATCCAAAGAGGTTCTCTCCGGGCATCTCAGTTAACTGACATATCCAATTAAAGTGATGGCTAGACACCATGGTGCCCCTTAGTGTGAAGATTTAGACCATTACACAATCACATTCATTGATTTAGACTTTTAGCTTGAATTGGAAAAAAACCTGAAAAGGGTAGAGCTTTCAGCAAAATGTCTATGTGACATAGTAATAGTCCAAATGCTATAGTGGACTCCAGTTCTGTAGGTTAAAAAATTTATGTTTTGATTTGCAACTGTGATGCATCAGCCATCTAATCAATGAAGAAAAGGCACAGTTTAAAAAGGCAAAAAGACAGTATCAGAGTATGCTGTGGACCAGCCATTTTCCTGATATATTGCATTCAATTAATTTCACACTATGCCAAAGACTGCCCAATGCCAAGGCAGCATTTCCATTTATTTCATCAATGAACTTGAAACACAATCTTTTGACTTTGCATCCAGACTTAATATAACTTCTAAAAATGAAAGATTTGGTTTTTTTCATACAGAACATTAATATCTCTGAAGCTAAAGCCTACACCCTTATAATTATGTCCTAAGTACGGTGTTCCAATTCAACCAGAATTACAGGAAATAAGTAAGAATGACAATTAGTAATTGGTTAAGTAAAAAAGAAAGCAAAATTGACTGCTCTTGAGTGCAACTCTAGAAAATTGTGTTAACAGTTTGCTAGAATTTGTACAATAAACTAAAGCTATTATTCCATTTGGATCCATTCTTACTGACCTTCTAAAATTTCCAAGTCTAAATAAGCTATAAAAGCCAAAAGAAAGAGAAAATGAAAGGGTTTGTTTCCAAAGTTGCCTCTATGCCATATGAATATTTTATTCACCTTGCATAAGAGCTATGAAATAATTATTTTACAAGTTAGCTAGTCTTATCCATCAAGTACCAAAACTGGACTCAGAAGAGGTCTGGTTTTGGTTTATTTGGGTTTTTTTTCCCTCCATTACTTAAAGGACCATTATGAAAAATAACACAATTTATTTCTTTCTTCTTTCTATTTCTTCTTTTAAGGATTTACGTAGGTGTTCCCCAGTCAAAAAACAATCACCTCTTAGGAATGTTTAAATTGTCACTACTAATGGTGAAATAGCATGTCGGCAGACTAGACTAGGTTATCAATGTTTTAGGAAGTCATGAACTAGTTACAAGGAGAATATGAAATTACTTTCTCTGTTCCCAGGGCTGAATTGAATTACTTACTTATTCAACACCCAATGGCTTAACAAAAGACACATTGAATCCGCAGAAATGAGATGAGAACAAGGCCCATTCATCTGTGTACTCCTAATGAAATTCCATTCCT